CACCCCTGGTGGAGTGAGCTTTAACTCCAAGAGGGATTGGAAGGTTTTCGCTGCTATATGCTAGCAAGATGGCCTCTACAATCCAGTGAGAGAGTCTTTGGCTAGAAAGAGCTTTACCTCTGTGTGGGTTAGCAACAGCCACAAACAGCTGATCACATGACCTTACATCCTGTGTGAGGCTGATGTACAATAAGTGCGTAGAGCATGTACGGGGCACAGAAGATGCAGCCTCTTTTGCTCCTCAGATGCAAGGGGGTGAAGGTGAAAACTGGAAAGCTCTACGGACATAGAGCTGTAACTAGAAGGTATCACCTTAGGAAGATACGCAGAGTTAGGGTGCAAAACCACTTTAGAGTCATTAGTAGAAAACTGGATACAGGAGGGGGTCACTGACAAAGAGTGGAGGTCCCCGACCCGTTTAGCTGTAGTTAAAGCCAGAAGCAAAGCAACTTTATTTGAAAAAACTTCAACTCTACAGACTCTAGAGGCTCAAATGGAGGGTCGCAGAGAGCCTCAAGTACCACAGTGAGGTCCCAAGAGGGAATACTGGGTTTAATAGTTGGCCGTAGCTTACGAACCCCTTTCAGAAAACGCACGGCTAAAGGATGAGCACCAGGTGAGACTCCATCAAAACCTACATGGCAGGCAGAAATGGCTGCTAAGTAGACTTTAACTGTGGAGAAGGAGAGCCCTTTATCCAGTAGCTCCTATTGCGCACTGAAAAGGGTCCAGGTGCCCGTTCTTACACCATCGCTCAAAAGCTTGCCACTTATAGGAATATAARCCTCTAGTGGATGAAGCTCTTGCGTTTTGGATAGTTGCTATTACTGCTGGAGAAAGGTCTTTGGCTAATAAGCTGGACCTTTCAGCTGGTAAGCATGCAGCTTCCATAGTTCTGGGTGTGGGTGACCCTCTGCCTGAGAGAGGAGATCTCGTCAAACCAGAAGTTGCCAGGGTTGAGCTGCTAGCAAGCTGATTATCTCGGCGTACCAAGACTTCGCTGGCCAGCGGGGTGCCACAAGGATCAAAGACAGGCTCTGTCCGTGCACCCTCTCTAGTACAAGTGGTATCATTTCCACTGGGGGAAACTCATACAGAAGTACATCGGGCCAAGGATGAGCTAGGGCGTCCACTCCCAGAGGAGCGCTCTGCTCTGTCATGGAAAAGAACAGAGGACTGTGTGTGTTTGCTCTGGAGGCAAAAAGGTCTACTGTCGCTTTGCCAAACAAAACCCAAATCTGGGCCACCACAGTGGGATGCASCCTCCACTCCTTTGCTAGAGGTCCGCCCCTGGAGAGGAGGTCTGGACCTAGATTCAGTCTCCCTGGAACATGAATGGCTCTGATAGACAGAAAATGAACACTGCTCCACAGTAAAAGAGTGTGAGACAGGTTCAGCAGGGGAAGGGACCGAGTCCCCCCTTGTCTGTTTATACAAGAGACCACTGCTGTGTTGTCCGTTCTGATTAGAAGATGATGGTTCTCCAGAACTGGACAAAAATGTTTCAGTGCTGACAGGACTGCTAACAATTCTAGGCAGTTTATGTGGAGCCTGGACTGTTATGGAGTCCAGGTTCCCCTCACCGCCGCACTGTCGCACAGGGCTCCCCAACCTTTCAGGGAGGCGTCTGTGGACACCWCTTTGTGAAACGACACCCTCCCTATTGGAGAACCCTGATACAGGAGGCCGGGTTCCCTCCAGGGGCTGAGAGCCGTTCGGCGGGCTGGGCCTTTGAAGTCCCGGGCTTCGACACCTTCTTGAACGGAGGAGGATGAGACGCAGACCTGGATGTGCTCGGGGCCTTGGGCCTCACGTCGCGTCTGGGGATGATGCAGCGAAGTGCCTCAGCCTGCTTCTTCCTCTGTTCAAATTTGGTTTGGATGACGTCAAGCGCTTGACCAAACAGTCCTGTAG